AACTTGCAAATATTTCCTGTAGATCATCTGAACCTGTCCTCTGAAGATGCTGAAATTACACAAATGTCTCTGTGCAAAGTTTGTGCACAGAAACAAGCTGTTCTTTCATTCAAATGATGGATTTATGCAGCGACAGGTGTGATTAGCGCCGCAGGAAACACACGTGTGTGTTGTCCTCTGCGGTCGTCTCCACCTCAGTTTGTTACATTCAGGTCCTTTGCTGTCAGTTGCCATGACACTGACCCATAAATCACGTAAAGTCTTATCTAAGCAGCAGAGACTCGATGCAGTGCAGAGAAAGGAATCAAGTTGAGAGAAGAAAAAGCAATTTTAAGACTCTAGTAGACAGAAAGAAAACCACAAAATTGCATTGGAATAAATCTATTTTCTAGTTCCAGCATAAAGGCCACATGTGACGCTGCAGAAACAACAATCCGCCCCGCTGGCTTTGTTGTTGGACTACACCTGGGATACAGAGGAGATCAAACATCCACCAAAGTTTCAAACAAAGGAGCTGCACAATAGCCAGATCGCTAAATGATCGCTATCGCTCTGTTTGGAAGTTATGTAACTTACATTTTAAAAGTGCGGCATTTTTAAAGAAGGGGAAGTTTTATTTATTTGTGATTTATTATTTTTTGATATAAAAACCAAACCTGAGTTGATTGCATAAGACTGATTATGTAATTTGGAACCTTTCACCACCTCCATCATGTTTTTTTCTCCACCTTTTGAAACTGATTCCTTAAAAAAAACAGATTAATGAACAACTACGACAGCCCAGAATAACTGAACTGAACGTGTCCATTAGAAACATGAACTCAGGACCACATTAACCTGCTGCTGGGCTGCAGGACTAACATGAGGCTGTTTTTGGTGCTTTGTGTTTGTTCTAAGCCACCTACAAGTGTTCAGTAAAGGCAGCGTCATCAACATTATGTTTTACAAAAAGACCCAGAAACCCAACAGCACTTTGCATTTGGAGTAAACTGCTGCAGGTGGTGCTTCACAATATCATCTCTGGATCAGAAACACAGATTAAGATGAGTATTATTATTATAGTTTCCTAATCTGCAAGGACATAAGGGACTGCTAGTGTAATTGAAAGACGGTGTGCACAAGGCTACAAATGCACCATTAGAGGTGATTCACATGTTTGAAATATGTTAACGCCAATTCAATTTTTCAGTTTTTCAATTTTATTAGTATAGCGCATATTTACAACAACAAGTCATCCCACAGGGCTTAACAAAGGCAGAAACAGAAACACCCAATAATCCAAAACATTTGGATTCCCTATAAGCTTCAGCAGTCTGCAAGCAGTCTGCAACAGTGGGAAGGAACCGAAAACCCCCACGAGGGAAAAAAAACCTCCGACAGAACCAGGCTCAGGGAGGGACGGCCATCTGCCTCAACCGGTTGGGTGGATGTAGGATGAATTATAAAATTTAGTTTACAGCTAAACAATCTATTGTGCATGTATGGAACATGGACTCTAAGTGGACTACGAGTATATTTAGCAACAACTGAACGTTTGTGTTGTCTACAGTTGACCATAATAGGGATATAATGGTATACAATCGACCTTATGATATGTCTTTGGACCTAAGGCGTGGCTCTGCTTCCCAGCATCGGATGCTTAACTACATCAACGATTGACAGGTAAACCAATCCAGGCTCCACCCTCCTTCAGCCACGCAAACACTGACTGAGTGCCCAACTTGTGAGCTCTGATTTGAAATCAACCAACAAGGTGTGTGGATGCATTCCAGTAGCAGCACTACAACAAAGTATCGTGGGCCAGAAAAAGATTTAGTATGTTCCAGTACATCGCATGTCAAATGTGCTGTATGGAGGCTTTTGCAGTAAGCTAGCCAGCACATTTTTCTTTTCCTGTGCACAGTTAGGTCACAACATCTCACCTGAATATAAACACAGATACATCACAGCTCATTCATCTCGCAAATTTTATACATACACAGTTTAAGCTGCAATGTTATGACAAAGGTACATTGGCCGACGGGAGCAAATGTCGTGCATGTACACAAACGAGCTGCATTGCATAAACAAAAATGAAAAAGAAAACAAATGCAAAAAGAAAATGCTGCCTATCCAGTAAACAACAGAAGTGCCCCAGGCCTCTAGGGGCAGTTTTTCACTGTGATTATCTGGGTGCTGAAGTGGTGTTTCACTACCGCCTCCCTGTGTTCTCTGTTGTTTATGTTTATCCATGGAGACGAGAGAATACAAACCTTTTCATACAACTTTTACCTCAGTTACCGTTCACCGTGAAGAGCTCACTACTGCCCCTAGAGGCCTGGAGCACTTCCATTGTGTGACTGGATGTGCAGCGTTTTCATTTTGCAGCGCGTTTCTGTTTATGCAACGTATTCATGTACATGCAGCTCGTTTGTGTACATGCACAACATTTGCCCCCATCGGCCACCGTACAATTGTTCTAATTATATACAGTCTGCATGAAGCAGTACGTGTTTTTGAGGGCAGCCGCAGAATATGCTTAAGTGAAACTATGCAATTTGAAATGCAACCTTTTATTCACAAATATATTTCTATAAATATTTAGGTAAGAAATAAGCTCTGTAGCTGCTGAATCTGACTTTATTTTAGGTCATTTTTAAACATTTTCTGGGAGTTTCCAGACGCAGCGAACTGCTCCCGGATGCCCTGACTTCCATAAAGTAGCCTCAACCTCATGCAAATAAGCATCCAATCTTGGCAGCTTCCATAGAAAATGAACGGACATGACGCATCCTGTGGACATGTGCTATAAACCTGAAGCTGTACTTTTAGCATCTGTGAGCACGTGAGGGTTTGAGTCCAGGTGACGTAAATTCCATCATTAGTCCAAGTCTGCGAGACTCCCCCTGGACTTTCTACTTCATCACTGTTGTTTTTTTTACTGTTTTGGGTGGTGAGGGTGTCTAACTTTGCCACTTTTGGTAATTCAATCTTAGATTCACAGCAATGCTTCACTGGTGTGATAAGTGAGTCGTCAAAACTTTGTTATTCATCAACAAATGCCAACATCAACACGACTAAAAGTCTGAAAGCGTAAAGATGATTTCCATAAAGTGAATGATTACACATATTTCTGCTCAGTGTCGGCCTGACAAACAAACATCCAAAGACCTACCTGGAAGTTTCCCACCATGATGAGCCCAGCGGCGCAGATCCAGCCGGTGGAGAGGCCGGCCGTGTTCAGGATGCAGTTCTGGTGCTTCTCGATGACGTGGGCATATCGCAGCAGGCCGATCAGCATCACTGCAGGAGGAAGAAATGACGAGAGGAAGAAATGACAAACTGGACAGAAGCAGCAGAGGGAGCCTGGAGCTGTTTGGTCATGCAGTTAGGTAACCGTGTTGTTTTCTCTTCCAGGAACTGTGCCCACAATACAAACTGCACGAGAGCGTTTAAGGGCCGCCGCAGCCCAATGAGCAGAAAAACAAACCTCAGGGTCACTTTTCAGCTCTCGTTACCTAAACACTGGTTGCTTTCCATTTCTTGTTCGATGCAAAAGGTGTCATTTTTATTGGCCAAACACTTTTATGGTTCCAGTTGAGCCACTTTAATCTCAGAGTTTAGAGGTTTTCCTGCATAAAGGAAGTTTCGGTGTCCCCTCACAGAGACCTTAGACAAAGAAAAATCACCAGCAGAAAAATGATTTGAACTGAGATTAAAAGACATTTCAAGAAGTTTTGCTGCTTGGAGTTCCATTTACTCAAAGATAATAGACATTTTTGTTTGTTTTTTGTGTTGAATGGTCAGAAATAACAAGGAAATGAATGAATTTCTGTCAGATAAGGTTACACATGTTCATTTCCTTTCCTATACATGAACCAGTCATGTTTACTGTCACCTCCCAAAGATCTATTCTTGAGGAAACAATGCAGCAATGCTCATCTACACCACCACAGCAAGACGTCACAATATGCAGGAGTTTATCTATGAAGTCCTTTTCAGACATGGAATATGAAACGTCGCATCAGTCTGTTAAAGTGACGGCATTCAGACAGAATTCACTTTTACATTAATGCTCTTCGTTCAGAGAGCAACAGACAAGCAAAAGCAAACTGGATGCAAAGTGTGACTCTGACAGCTCACCTGTCTGAGGTTAAGAAAAGTTCACAGTAACCTGCTGTTAGATCCTGATCCATCCTGTCTCCATGTCTGGGATCATTTATAATTATAAGTAATTGAGGAAGTTACTGTGGTTGTGTGCAACTCTCTCTCTTTGAAGATGGATCCTGTTGTGCACATATTCAGTAAGCTCAGAAGAAAGACTCCTACAAACTGCTGGAGGCAACAAAATAAACCTCAGCTCCAGTTAACGTTTTGTCCCCCCCCAAAAAATGGATTACATGCATTATTGGTGAGTTAAAGTTTATTTTAATGTAATTTTTAGTTGGTGATGGTCGTGAAATTGTAAGACAAAGTGATCAAGAACGGTCTGTTGAGAGATTTTGCCACACAAATCGTGTCCAACGTGCTCTCTGTGATGTTTTTTGGCCTACGTTAGTGCTGAAATGTGTAAAAATCCTTCCCAAAATGCTCGACACAACTCTAAGTTAAGTTCCAGAACACTTGTGTACACTGCTAATTTGCTATCCTTAACCTGAAGCAACTGTTGTAGCTGCATTTCTCCTGGAAAGCGCACAGAGAACCCTGTTTCCATCACACTGATTGTGCGTAGCTCTCACTTAACGTAGCTCAGACTTGTTCAAAGTGATGCAGAAATGCCATTTTGTCCAACATAGTGAGTTTGTCGTTGTGACTTGTTCAGAACCGTTAGATTAACAGAAATGAGTGCTTGTTTGAAAGGAGCTGAAGTTCGAGTAATGTTTTAAAGCAAACATTTAAATGCAATGTTCAAATAATGGTTTAAGTTCATTTATAATTTAAAATTTAAAGTTACCGAAGACAAACAGTTTAACTGTAACATGTTCTGCCTCTTCCTGCAGAAAAGCACATCATCTGCAAACTGAGAAACATCCAACCAATCGTGTTGCTGCACAGACTCAAGCCAGGTGTACCGAGGCAGTGAAAGTATAGTCTTAGAATTAGAAGCTTAATTGTCGTTATAACGCACTGCCAGACAGCAAACAATGGTATTTTAAATTCAAATGTAAAATAGAAAAAGATATTCTCAAAAGTTAACAATACAACACTTTAAAGCTTCATCAATGTGCAAAAGTTTGAAGTGCAAATGTGCAAAATAAAATGCGTTTTTTAAGGTGAAGTCAACAAGGTTTATCTAAATCAAGGGTTTAAAATGACCGTGAAGGCCCTCGAGTGTGTGAAGGAATAAAATAAACACGAATATAAATTTACTGCTGCAGTTGCACAGAATAAACTCAAGACGGAAAAGCAGCATCAAAGCAACAAAGAGCTCAGATTTTCCTCCCGAAACGTGCAAAAGCAACGATGCTGCAGATCTGTGAGAGCGGATTCCTGACGTCTGTTTACCCGACGGCTCCATCAAAGCCTTCGCAGCAGTTTCCCGCCGTTCTCCCACACTTCATCTCACATCTGGTGCTCATCACCGCAAACGGCACGCAGCGACTGTTTTCACGTTCCTGTTGTCGTCCAGCAGCGAACGCAGCGGTCACGTTTTTGATGGCCGAGCGTCCGCGGCGATGGGAACCCGTGTTTTGGGTTCTGTGCGTTTCATGGGCTGCTGCACAGCGACGCGTCGGCCGTCTGATCTGAAGGGCTCCAACAATTACCATTCTTCTAATGTCAACGCTCGCCACACCTTGGAGTCAAACAAACTCCCTCACAAACATAAACCCAGGATTGTTTATCAGAGCAGGATTCATAAAAAAAGGAGGGGAAGGCTTTTGATGTTGGTGAAATTTCCAGAATGTGAGCTCTCACACTCCTGCTGGGACTTTTACTTACAGCTGAAAGGCACAAATTGTCACATTTAAGTAACATTTTTAAAGCAAAAATGTCAAATATTGCCTTTTTACAGTATCTTGAATGATTTGTTTTCACACAGAGGGATGAGCGGTGAAAAATAGAAGAATTTATGGTTTGTCTTGTCAAATCTTTACCTCATAACCTGCTATAATCACCGTTTTTTTTAGCTCTACTGGTATCTGCAAGGAAAATAATGTTGCATACAAATCCGTGTGCCAACTCTGCAACAGAGATCAAAGAAATACTGACTCAACATGGACAATGACCTTCACTTGAAAGTTTCAAAATGGTTTCAACAACCGTAAAATGCAGCATTTGCAGGAAGGTACTAAGTATTTACCAAGTATCCATGAGCTCAAACTACAAAGTTGTGGCATTTTTGATTATTTGAAAAGGTCTCAGTCACACCACATCCTGTATAGCTTCACCAGTAGCAGAGCGCTGCAGCAGCTCAGCAACAAATTAGAAGCTTTGTTGTCATTATAATGCAGTGAACCACCACAAGTTAACACAATTAGTCTTCAAGTAACAATATTAGGATCATGTATGCGTAGAAATCTGGGATGAAAACTGGAATCAGTCCATTTTTTCTGTGTTTTCACTTCAGTTTATGCAGATGTGTGCAGCTGCAGCACTGCAAAAGGAAGCAGGAGTCAGGATTCCAATCAGGGTTAATAAAGGTCACAGAGCAGCAAGAAGCTTC